CGACCAATATCAGGCATTATGAAAGACCATCTTTCTTGGTGATGGTACCCTTTAGAGCAGAAAGCTCATTTGAAAAATTCTGAAAAGCAAACAAAACATTCAGTTTCAAATGGAAGACTATACTGAATTTCTTCTAATCACATACCCAAAGGCTTCACAGCGTTTCTGGTAAATTTCAACATGATGCTGCAGAGGGGCAGGGTCACTTTGTCCAAGACGGTTAACATCATCTTTCTTGGTGATGGTACCCTTTAGAGCAGAAAGCTCATTTGAAAAATTCTGAAAAGCAAACAAAACATTCAGTTTCAAATGGAAGACTATACTGAATTTCTTCTAATCACATACCCAAAGGCTTCACAGCGTTTCTGGTAAATTTCAACATGATGCTGCAGAGGGGCAGGGTCACTTTGTCCAAGACGGTTAACATCAAATATAGCAACAAGATTATCAAGTTTGTAAAACCCAGCAAAGGCCATTGCCTCCCAAACAGAGCCTTCAGATAACTCTCCATCTCCAAGCAGACAATACACTCGATAGCTAGAAGAAGAAATTAAAAAAAAAAAAAAAAAAATTTGATGTGCAAGCGCAATTAAATCAAAAGCAAAACCCCTCTAACAATTCATAGTGAGAATTCACTGCTTTTTCTATCCTAAACTCAACTCCCATTGCTCAATGCATTCACCTGAGATAACCTTACGTAACCTTAGAAAAATTAAATTAAAATACTTTTCAGCTGTAACACAGGAAAAAAATGAGAAATACTGTACTCCTTTTCAAACCTTTGTCTCAAAAAATTCAGGTCTTAAGCATCCTATTGCAATGCTTGAATGAACAGGCCCATTAAACACTGTCACTGTGACTCAGCAAGATCACTAACAATGCATGAAAGGTTACTGTCTGCTTCCTCATTCCTACCATATACTCTCTGGAAGGACGACCAATAATTTAATTTCAGGAAACTATAAATTGGGGATGAACTCAACTATGGATTAAAGCACGTCGTATAACCAAATTCAGAATTCAGGAAAAAGATAACCAGCATCATATGACTTTGTAGACTACTCCAAACACTGAAGTTTTTTATTTAGGCAAAACTCAGTTAGCAGGAGTACAGCCTGATTTCTACAGAATTCAGCCGCTGTATTTTTCTTTTATTACCACTCTCTTTTTTTGGATGACAAAGCTTTATAAATGTTTATTACCTATTAAAATTAAAAAAGAATAGTGAATTAGCCTTCAAATATATGATTTTAAAACAAAATAATCAAGATGGCTGTTAATGATTTTTTTTAACTAGACATTAAGCTATAACAGACTTTTGATCTGAATCCCACCTGCCTTCAGCTAAATCTGAACTCCTTCCACATAAGCAGCTCCCCAGTACTGCATGCAAGACCACCTTTTTCTTCTGACATGTAAGGACTGGCTAGATTTTTTCCACACGTAGCATCTGCTAAACTCAATTAAAATCAGCAAGTCATCTTTCACAGAAATGATTTCAAGCTAGTGAAGTGTAGGACACATTAACTGCGCAGCCTATGCTCGAATGTACTAGAACTGTCACATAAAATATATCAACTACATCAGACTATTTTCCTGATTTGCCTTTACACATCTACTGATTTGCCTTTAGACATCTACTTTTCCTGTCCACAAAACAAATGGCAGAAGCAGTCATTTTTGTCTCTATGGAGTCGAGTGCCTTTCTGATAACATTTTGAAGCCCTACTTCTTGATTCAGTGGTGCTATTATTGACCATAATAGTTCCTTATCTAGATACATGTTCTCCTTTATTTGTCATCTGACTTTGAACAGACACATCTCTAGTTTGCATCTTCCTTCTAAGGGGACACATATCAGTCTCAAAACGGCTACCAATTACTCTCTGGAAGTTAGAGGCCGCTCCAACAACTTACTGCCATTTCTGTTCAGGAGCATCACCTTGCAATGCTGCCAGGTTACAAAAGGAACACACATATGCACTAATTCTCGCTAATCTTTAAATCCTTGGTAGTTTCACTGGTAATGGCTTTGTAATTATCAGGCTAGTAATCTACCATTTAAAACCTGAATTTGAAATTAGATTTGGGAATGGAGAATAAAATAAAGGAGGGGTTTTTTTTTCCTGATTGAGATAAGAATATAATTTCTTTTGACAAAATATTCCCATTGAGTGCCTATAATCATGAAATATGAAGATAGAATTACCTGGCTCTGTCAAAGAATTTGCCAGTGTATGCCATTCCACATGCAGCACCAAGACCCTGACCAAGGGATCCAGTAGCCACATCAGTGAATGCTTGTCTCTGAGAATAAAAAGATAACAATTATTTCACCGTTACGAAACAGAGGAACTAAATTCCAGTGCTAGAAGATGGTTCAACATACATCAAAATTCAGTTTCTCAGCCATAACAATATAGTGCAAGTCCCTCCAAATCTTGCCCTGTTCCCCTTCTTTCCCTGCAATGCAGGGAATGATCAGTATCACAAGCTAACTAGGCTCTCTGAGAGGGAATGGTACCTATGGCCCAGGAATTCCTCAGGTATGCCTTGGATGGCAAAAGTTAAGAATTGATGATTTTGTGTTAAAAAGAATCAATTGAAACAACTGGCTGGGAATGGAAAGACCAATGAGGTGACCAAACTGGATATGAACTCTTGAAATACCTCAACGCTTCTTAAAGGATGAGAAAAGCCATGCTGAAACTTTATATAAACCTTTTTTAAATGGAAAATATTGACATACAGGACTGTAGGGGAACTTCACTACAACAATAAAGGTCATTTTTACATGCTCATGCAAACACAGACATTGATTCAGTCGTAAAGCCATAAATATCATCAGCCTTCTTATAAGTCTATCTTGCCTGTACTGTAGCCGGCAACAAAGAATTGCTGCAAAATGCATGCACTTCTTGTTTTACAGAAAACACCATCTTATATCAAAGGTGATATAAGCACTCACTGGTACTGGGTGTCCTTCTAAGACAGAATCAATTTTCCTCAAGTTCAGTAATTCTGCTTCTTGTAGAAAGCCAGCCTCTGCCCAAACAGAATATAAAATTGGTGCTGCATGACCCTAGAGAGAAACATAAATTTTAAGCAAAGCACAAGTTTTACAGTATCCTAGTATCAAAGCAAAATTCTACAAAGCTGACAAACCCTGGAATCAGGTTCTTATGCCCACTAAAAAGGGATCGAGCTATAAAACACTTTTACAACGCAACATTCACACTGATGCTTGTTTCCAAGTCCCCCATGCCCCTGCTTAGAGCACCCCAGATAGCTGACTGCAGTTAAGACAGAAAAAATGCAGCACTCTCAAGGGCTATTTAGGATGTCTTCAAGAAAATCAACTTGGAAGAGTAAGAAGGTCTCCCTCAGCCACGCAGGTCCAATTCCAAAAAGTAGTTTTGGTATCCAAATAAAAACCCTTGATTCAATTTGCTTCGGTACCAGTTTCAAGAACAGAGCACCGTTCACTAAACCAGTAAGCAGATGGATCAACAAGTGTTATCCCATTAGAACTTCTTCAGTACATATGTATTCAAGGTAAGATGCAGCGAGTAACAACAGGCAAAATTTTAAGCTTTTACAGTCAGATCTTTGCGGCCAGGTCCAACTGGACAACTGCAAAGTAGTAGTCATCTTCCACCCATGGAGTCATTAGGAGTCAAAAAAACATGCAGAGGTTTGAAGCCATTTAGCAACTCTGGGCAGAAACCCTGATTAATTAGAAAGAGGTAAAGTAAACGTGAAGAAGCGACTCTCTCTTTTGCTTTACCACCTCAGCATTAGCTGCTTGCTTGTCATCCAGTTACTTATTTCAGAATGGCAATCAGAAGTGGCACCAGTTATTATATCCAATGCAAGGATACACACCATCAGCTATGCACCACTACTGTAAGCCACCACGTGAGGAACTCTGACTCAAAGATGGAACCTGCCTCTCTGGAGTACTTCATCTGCCATTTTTTACATCATTATGTTTTCTGAAGGCCTCTCAACTGCCTTTATGATTGATCACTTCATACGATTGAAATGTCCCTGTGATTTGCAAGGGCACAATGCAAAAGGGGATAGAAACGCTAACGGCCAGTCCAGATTGCAGTTTTACATGTTTTCTGAACCACAGTGGCTTCAGGAGTGGTATTGACTTTAATATCATACTGGCACAGTAGGAATGCAAACTACTCACTAACCTGCCATAACTATTTCATATAATGCTCCCTGAAAAGCTGACAGTAATTAGTGCACATTGTGACGTGACTGCAGGCATAACAGCACGGCTGCATTTAACAAGTAGAGCACAAAAGCTAACTGAGACTTACTCGTTAGAAAACTGGTTAAGCCAAAATAAAACAGACGTTAGTATTTCTTGATAGATTTTATAGACAATATACTAACATTTATTATTTAATATTGGAACAACTTAACATAGTGAAGTTAAGACTTATCAAGACACATTATACACACACTTTTAAATTATTTTTGAGTTATGCTACAGCTTAACTCAACCAGCTTTTATTTGTCTTTCTGAAGTAGACAAATTCCAAGCTCTCAAATATTTCCAATAGATTTCTGTGTGGATGCAAGCATAAGTAAGCATAAGTCAAGGAAGACAAGTCAATTTAGTTTACAGACAGACAGCTCTTTAATAGCAGACTGCAACAGTATAGCATAACAGTTGTTATTTTACCTTTGAAAGAACAAACCGGTCGTTGCTGGCGTTTCTGGGATCTTGCACTTTGTACCTCATGGTATGGAAAAACAGCACAGACATAATCTCTGCTGCACTGCAACATGATGTAGGGTGGCTACAAGTCAAGACAGACCCAAGATTACCACTTCTCATTATTGTTTGCTCAGGACTGTATCTTTAAAATACCACTTCACCAATCCCCTACTCCTCAGCATTAAAATACACAGCCTTAAGTGTTTTGATAACCCATCCCATCTACCATTACCCCAATGCCAATTAGTTGTACTTTGAGACAAAGGGAGCCTTCTTATCTAGTTGAAGTGGATGTTAAAAGATAGACCCTGGTGACAGCTCAAGGACATATCTTTTAGAGCTCTCTGTTCTCTTTCACGCCAAGGAACACCACCCTAATCGGTGACTGTGAAGCACAGGAAGCAGTATGACCCTGTGCCCGAAATCATACTCTACTGATTTATCTGACGGTAGAAATTCACACTGATGCAGAGGAAACAAAGACAGCTTTCCACAGTACTTTCGCCACTCACCGAGTGAAGGAATTAAAAGCGTGGCATCATGACCTGCTCAGGCCCCATTGCACAGGCAGGGATTGGTAACGCAAGATTAACTTTTGCAGAAAGTTCTGGAACATTTAGAACTGTGTAACATACATACCATTTTATTTTACCATGTTAGAGCTGATAGAACTAGAATCCTGATTTCTAAAGAGGGCATTAAATAATACAACTCTTACATTTCATCTTCTACTGAAACTGGACACAGAAATTTACTGTCTCCATTAAACACCCAGATACACATTGTAAAATACTAATTTGCTTAATCTTTTGCTAAGAGAGGAACCAACATTTTCTACATTTACATCTATATCAGTTTGAAATATTGAACTAGTTGGTTTATCAAACATAAGTATCTGGGATAGCCTCTCCCATTGAACTATCTGGGACGACTTTTGCAATGATTTTCAACAGCAGCACAAATTAATACTTCAACTATAACTTGCCTTAGAAATACGCAGCCCCATTTCAAAAGCAACTATGCCATATAGTACCAACAAGTGAATATAACGTTACATGAAAAGGGTTATTTCCAAGTGGCAAATATTGAGCTATTCCAAGACAAGGTATATATTTCATTTGAAGTGTAATAGAAGGGCATACAATTACTTTTATCTATCTACATTATTGTAATTTAAGTAATGATCACTGTAGTTCTTATGCACCTTGAAGGGATGGCACTACTTGACCACTTGAGGATATCAGCCTTAGCTTTTCACTTGCGATAAAGCTTAAAAGGGGTAAGGAGGCTCTTTAAAAATCTTTATCGAGTGCGGCAAGTAGCATTTTTCAGATTTTACTGGTGTAAACAGGATCATTCTTGACATCAGTGGTTGTTACTGAAGTACATGAAAGTGAATGATGAACAGTAAGAAGGTTATGGCTGCAGAAATCTGCACCAGCTTTGAAAATAACTTGCAGTCTCATCTCACATCCTCTTCTACCAACGTTTATTTTTCATCTTTAACATGATACTCTTAAAATATTTGACCTTACTTGTAAAACAGGACAAACTTACTATGAAAGTTTCACATTTCGTTTCCCGCATGTACATTTACCATGCATATTAGGATTAGACAACACTTTCACTAGAACCTTAATCAGAATATTCTCTTCTGGTAGTAATAAATTTTCCCTCCCAATATCCCCAACAGTATTGTAATAAGAGAATAAAAACATGCAAAACACTAGCAAAATATGAATTATGGTTAGTGTCCATCCCTTAGTAAGTACTCACACACAGGGAACCAAAAGAATTAGCTTTAAACCATGGTTCAAACATATTAGTAAATATTTACGTATTTGAGTTAATCAATAAGCCTTACATGCTTGTTTAAAGCTTTCATTCCTTTAATTTTATTAACTTTATACTTAACCATACTTCTATGAACTCCTGGTCTTGGTAAAAAAAGTTTTAAACAACCTAAAATGGTAGCATGTGGAAATAAAAAAAACAGGAAGAAAAATTTAATAAATTACCTGAAAATTGAAAAAAAAAAGGGGAAAAAAAAAAAGAAAAAAAAATTTGTTAAAACTACAGGTGAATTAATTGACTTCCTACTAACAGAAATTACCCAAAATTTAACTACGTATCACACACCAGAAATCATTCTAATACCAACTACACAATTTTCTTTAAATATAGCCATCTTAACTACATCTACTGGTCTTCTCTGAGCACACACTTTTCTAATAAGTTCTGTTAAAAGAATTCCTTGTTAAGTCTAGCAGAGCGTATTTGGATTACTTGTACAAGGGGAGAAAAAAAACCACAGCAAGTCATTGCCACTATTCTCACACAATCTTCCACATTTTGTTCCTGACTGACGAACAACTGAAGAACTTTGCAGTGGTGGTCCGATTAATATGCTTCTCTGCCAGATAGCTTCTACTGAAGACCTGCCTTAACTTTGAAGTATAGCCCTTTTAGTAGGAAACCAAACCAAAGTACACTAGAACACTGAAATCCTGGATCTACACAAATCAAGAGTAAAATAATTACTCCAGCGTAGTTTTGTGTGGTTTTTTTTACTACTCTGCATCAATTTATATTAGCTCCATCTACACGCATCTACACGTTTCAACTAAAAAGAATAGTAGTGGAATGTTAAAATGGAATACTGAGTGAAAGACAAAAGCTAAAAAATTGAAGGAGAAAATAATCTGCAACAAGTGATGATACCACATGTTATGAAACTTAACTGCCTCCTAAGAAACTCTTGTAACTTCCACTTTCAAGAATTTAACCATCTAATTCTAGGAAGCCAGGCACTGTTTGAAAACTGCAGAAATTTATCATTAGCTACAAAAGAGACTCTACCAGTTTTGATGAAAATGTCTGCTCTACTTATCTAAAAGAAAAACTTCTTCCACGCCCAAAAGCAAGTATGTTCAATCTTTACAACTAACTTAATCAAATTTTTCCCCACCTACGGCATTTTAAGCACAAAATTTTTTTCCAGTTCACTGAATTTTTCCACTATGGCTGGTAAAGTACTCAAAGTGATACGTCTGAGCATCTTCAGAATCAGACTACTTGATCTTTTAGCTCTTGTCCAGACAAAGGCTGTACTTTCCTTTAGAAAAGTTAGTAAAAGTAAAGATGGCAAGAACTTCTGTGTCAGATCTACCATGGAACTACTTGTGTTGCAATATACACCACAGTTTACAGAAATTACTTCCTTGAAAGAAGTAAGCAGGTCCTGTTTTGTTTGAAGTGCTTTTATTGCAAGTATTTCCTTCAGTTTTACAAACTACGCCTTTAACAAACACAAATTTCCTTAACAAAGTCAATGCAGGCATGACAATTTTTTTATTAACTGTAAGCTTCTATTTAACTTGCATTCAAACACCTTTCTACATTCTTAGTGTATACCAGCAATTTAAGCAAAGCTTACTGTCTCATTCAGGTTTTGGAAAACACATTCACAAGGTATAGCTGTTTTAGAAATGTATGTGATTTACCTAACATTGCAACAGGCTCTGTCTTTTTCTTTTAGGCACATTACTACACCATCATCTTGCTAACCAAATCTTATTGAGAAAATATATGACTTGTCAACAGAATCTTCTCTCCAGAGCCCATCTTTCATAATCTGCTCATTATCAGGTTGTGTAATAATTTCAGACTCTACACAACTCTAGTGCTAGAATAATCTACAGTGATTAATTAAATGCCTTTGTGCAAGAAATACCCAGTATTGTAGCATACATGAACCAGGAATAAAAAGCTTGAGTAAAACTACTTTTACTGTTTCTTTATCAATATGGGGAGAATGGTTTTACTATTGAATTTCATGGACCACAGAAGAGAAGCAAAGGCTGTAGCAAGATCCTTATTCTTTAATAGCACATCAAACAAAACAGACAAATAATTTTATCTGTAGATAAGAAAATTGATAACCATACATCCCTGTGACCTGCTTAAAATACACACCAGAAGCTCAAGACTGAAGCCCAAGCTCTACTAAGTAGATTTAGCACAATTTTTCTTACCTACAATTTCACACAGGCTTGTGTAATACTGCCTGTACATTGTAGCTTTGAAACAAATGAAGAATTAAAAGAGCAATTGTTGAGTATCCTGTACTTCCCTCTCCAGACTGGACCAAACAAGCTACGGCTTTGTAAAAGAACAGTCCTATGCCTGAGAGATTCCCTGTGTCTCAACACTCCATTTTACAGAAGCACCAAAGCAGCGTTTTCATTTGCTGTATGCAAAAGGAACGAGTAAAGTTCAGTTTCTGTATGCTTTGAGAAAGAGCCATGTGAGGTAGCCCATGCCAGACACAGGGTGGAAAG